ACAAGGATGACGACACCGCATCACAAATGAAAATTCCACCACGCTCGAAAATATCAAGTCTCGTTACTCCATCAACCAAAGCATGAACATCCATAGTCCGGTTGCCTTTCCTCTATTGGAATTAAATGTTGAACCTCCAAATCATGCACTGAGAAATCCTCATTTCAAGTCATTCACTACCTCGACACATAAACAATCACCCTACCATTACACCAACACCGTGCGATAACAACGCATGAACATCATAACAATCTAAGCATAGCCTCAAAACCATCAAAAATATAGATACTAAGCTGAAACAACAGAACATCCTTCCATAAGGAGACGATAATAGCCTGTCCGAATACGCAGGGAAAATCATCCGACACCATGTGTGCAGTACCACTACAACTCCTCGATGCCCAAGTGATAACAAGCGCTCTATGTCGCGTATGATTAAGTAGGAAGAAAATGAAGGCATAAGACTCAAAAAATCAAATCGCACGATGAGGAATCAAGAAGGGAAATGCTCTTAACAACCCTGTAGCCTCTCGAAGATAAGTACAGACGTCTCTGTACCGATCCGCAAGACTCTACTAGACTTGCTCATGACTCGTGAGACCTAAGTGAACCTAACGCTCTGATACCAAGCTGTCACGACCCAAAATCCACTATAGGTCGTGATGGTGCCTAACGCCGCCGTCAGGAAATCCAACGGTGATCGATCAACTTAATTACTCATTTTGATTACTTTAAAATCATAATTCCCATTAAAAAGTAGTGTAAAATCTAGCACTCATAGAAAACCCGTGATTTTATTTTCCAATTTATGTATAAGGTATAAATTACAAGGTAAAATGATGATAACTACGCAAACTACAATAATGAACACCCAGTAGGTACTCCCAAAACCCGGTGTCACAAGTGCATGAGCATCAACTAGAAAAATATAATAAAAATACAACATTTGTTTGGAATACAAGTTAGATAGGAGAAAATAAATAACTCTGATGGAGACTCTGTATGCTGCGGATCATAACATGGAATGTAACTCACGGTAAATTCCCCGCAATAGTTGTGCCTTTGCGCCCAAAAGACCACTAGACATATATGTACCTGCACAATAAGTGCAGCAAGTGCAACATGAGTACGTAAATCAATGCGTACCTAGTAAGTATCTTGCCTAACCTCGGAGAAGTAGTGACGAGGGGTCGACATCGACACTTACTAGTGGTCCAATAAATCAAATACAGTAGGAAGTAAACAAATGTGAGGCAGAGTAAATAAACGAAATAAACAAGCATAAATACGTGGTACAAATCCTCCTCTCAACAATAAACTCAAGATCTCAGTTAGCAGTTACCTCCTCAACTGGAGTATATGTATAAAAGGGACCTCACCAGACATGCCATCACAGTTCAAATCAGGAAAACTCATAGATACACTGGCTTCTTGTCAAATATTACACACAATTCCATAAGAGTATTTTATAGAAATGTCGAGGCGTACGACCCGATCTTATCATAATGTGCGCACTGCCGAGGGTCGAATGACACGAACCATAGATACATCTGTTACATTGCCGAGGCGAACGGCCCGCTCCCATGAGAGAGTGATACATAATCCTGCCGAGATGAACGGCCCGCTCCCATGAGAGTGTGATAGATAATCTTGCCGAGGCCAATGGCCCGATCCTATCATAATGTGCGCACTGCCGAGGGTCTAACATCACGAACCATAGATGCATCTATTATACTACCGAGGCGAATAACCCGCTCCCATGAGAGTGTGATACATAATCCTTTCGAGGCAAACTACCTGATCCCATCATAATGTGCACACTACCGAGGGTCGAACGACCCGAACCGTAGATGCATCTATTATACTGCTGAGGCGAATGACCTGATCCCATTAGAATAAGAAGCTTTAACGGGTCCTTGACCCCATTCACGAATAAACGTGTGAGTTACGAACTTTAAGGAAGCTTTTCGATGAAAACGCACAATGCGGAAGAAATTCGTAAGGGGAGCACAATTATTCCGCGGCTAAATCAAGTAGCGCATCAAATCTCTACAATAGCAAGTCTAACACCTTACGCAAGTCTAGTCTCAAGTCGTAACGTAAAATAAGGAAATTAAACGAGCAAATATAACTCCAATAGTACAATTATAGCATGGCGTGAACTTAAGCCTACCCGAACATAACATGAATCTAGCTACGTACGGACTCTCGTCACCTCGTGCGTACGTAGCCTCAGCAATAAGTAGCACATAACAAATACATCACCTAGGGGTAGCTTCCCCCTCACAAGGTTAGATAGGAGGCTTACCTCTCTCCGAAGTTCCATAACTGGCTCCAACATCTCTTTAACACCTCAAACCGATGGCCATCATTCCAAAACTAGTCAAACAATATGCAAACTAATCAAAATATACCCCAATACGTATAATTTAACAATTTATAATGATCCCCAACTCCGCTAAAAAAGACAACAAAGTCAACCCTCAAGCCCATGTGCCCGGATTCCGAAAATGTTTGAAGATAAACTTTACCCATAACATTACCAACTCAAATATCTAATTTATTCTTAATTCCATTTCCAAAATCGTGGTCAAAATAAAAAATTATCAATTTTAGAATTCCTACTAAAATCCCATAATTTTTCCTAAAGTTTCCTCCTTAAATCCACATATAAACCATACATTTAGCTCACAACAAGTGGGAAATTACTTATCTTGTGTTGCATGATGAAAACCCCTAAAAATTTGCCCAAAAACCGAGCTCCAAAATCCCAATCGAAAATAACAAAATGACCAAGTTCGATACCTTATGTTCTGTTCAGCTTCGCTTCTGCGAACAGAATCTTCACATCTGCGACGTCGCTTCTGCGACCAAAAATGCGCGTCTACGAAGTCCACTGGTCAGCAGCCCTATCACACCTGCGGACTCTTTCCCGCTTCTGCGCAACCGCAGGTGTGGAGCCATAGTCACCTCTGCGCTCCAGCTCGCTTATGCGACCACTTTGTCGTTTCTGCGAGGCTGCAGAAGCGTTCCGTTTTTGGCTTCTACGAAACCTTACCCAGCCAGCCTTCCTCGCTTCTGCGAGGTCGTTTTTGCGATAAAGCTTCCGCAGAAGCGGTTGCACAAGCAACCTGATTTTTCCAGTTTTTCCTTAAGTCCAAAATTCGTTCCGTTAACCATCCGGAATCCACCCGAGGCCCCCGAAACCTTGACCAAATATACCAACGCGTCCCAAAACAAATTACGAACTTAGTCGAGGCCTAAAATCAAGCCAAACAACATCGAAACTATGAATCGGCGATTGAAATCCTTCTTTAAACTTTCAAACTTCCAAACATAGACGAACAAGTCTGAACCATATCAAAACATTCCGGAATAATGCCAAACTTTGCGTGCAAGTCACAAATCTCAATAAGAAACTATTTGAAGGCTCGAAACGTTAAACGAAAATTGATAACACCAAAGTCGACTTCAAATCAAACTTAAGAAATTCTTAAACTTTCAAAATGTTAGTTTTCCATAATAAGCGCTGAAATGTTACCGGGCCACCCGATACTCAATCCGAATATATGCCCAAGTCCGAAATCATCATATGAACCTATTGGAATCTTCAAATCTCAATTCCGAGGTCGTTTACTCAAAAGGCAAGCCTTAGTCAATTCTTCCAACTTAAAGCTTCCAGAATTAGAAATTTCTCTCCAAATCAACTCCGAAATTCATTTCCGACCACACGTACAAGTCATAATACCTGAAGTGAAGCTACTCAAAGCCTCAAACCGACAAACGATGTGCTAGAGCTCAAAACGAATGGTCGGGTCGTTACACCCCATTTAACTTGTACGCACTTTTTTTTTTAAAAGTTTAACTGATTCCCAATATTTAGCTAACTTCAGATACTGCTTTGTTCTCTATTGTTGCTTCTTATCCGTTGATGCTTCCTCTCTGCCTGCTTCTTTGTCGCTGCTTCTTCTCTGGCATTGCTTTTTTTCTTCCTTTTCTTAGAACTGAGATTCAAACTTTGAGTTAGTACTTGTAGACTGTAGTGGAGAAATTGTAAGCCACCATTGTTGAACCTAGAGAAAGCTTGCTCGATAATGACCTCGCTGAAACCGATAAAATAACCTCTTGAGAGATAGAGGAACTTCATATTCAATTCTGATGTTGCATTGAAGAGATAGAAGAACTTCAGATCCCGATTCTGAAGTTGCATTGAAGATATAAAAGAACTTCAGATCTGATTATAAAGTTGCATTGAAGATATAAACGAACTTCAGATCTGGTTATAAAGTTGTATTGAGGAGATATATAATAGCTTCAAATCTGATTCCGAAATCCTAAATTTATAACTTCAAATGCGAATTCGGAAGTGATCAGATGCTAATTTTGAAGTGTGTTTCAAAGTGGGTAAAGTTTTGCAAAAATTTATGCAATGTGGGTATGACTTCAATGGTGGCCCCAAAATCAGGTATGTGTATACTTCCCCCAAATAAAACTCGCCATGGACGTGCGTTGCAGCACACCTGGGGCCTAGGGCGCGCAGAGACTCCGGTGAGTTTGCCTTCACTGCACTCTGAAGCTACACTCTTTGTCAGATATTGCATTGGCGCGCAACACTCAGCACTCTCCGGTGCTTGTTTTTCACAATCACAAGCCTTTAAATGTGGTATTCTTTGCATGAATCCTCCGAGTGATTCTCCAAACATCTTCTAGCCAAATATTGAAGATCATGCATTCGTTGGACACTTTTGGACTTGAAGCGTCTCAATGGTCCACTAGATAATTGAAGATTATCCACAATGTTCTCCGCTTTGCTCAGACTATCCATGATCATATCATAATTGAATGCAACATGTTGGCTTGTTGATGAGTATGAATAGAGATGACAAAACACAACTCTTAACAAAAAATACAGACCAATCAACTCATCATTAAAAGATGGCACATTATAACTCAATTATTACAGTGGTTTCTTGTAAACTGCCATAATTCTGAGACGTATATAATATAAAACCCTTCATCAAATGACAGCCAGCCGCAGCCAGAAAGTAAAGTTATTACATTTGAATATTTGATAAGCAGAATGATTAGCTTCGTGGATAAGATAAAAACTAATCTTTCAGCAGTAAGTATTTTAAATAGAAACCATTATAAAACTGCAACGTTTCTTTCTCTCTCTGTATGATAATGCTCTCAATTTACGAAGACAGAAATCCAGCTAGCACTGCCATCTCTTGAGCTTTCAACTTTATCATTTTGGGATATCAATCCTCAGATCGAGCCCAAGGTCCATTCCGTTGTATGCAATGGGAGAATACATCCATAGATCATCAGAGCTCAAAAGCTGCTTGCAGATGCCCCAACAAAAAAGCACGACATTAAGATCCATCACTTGATTCCAAAGTGAGAAGTAATTAGTCTTAGTACCTTTAGTTGATTTGCTAGCTACGCCATCATATAACGAGTTTATTTTGTGCATTGACAATGCAAAATTTTTAAAAACCTATCAGGTCAAGGTGACGTATACAAGTAACTGTTTCTAGCAAATCTAATTTGGTAAAATAAAAAGTAAAGTAAATGACCTTCTATATACTTGCTAAAAATCTTTAGATAGTCCGCATATATAAGTTAAATAATGCCACCAATATTTTATAGGTTAGTTTTCTGCCACCACCTCACTAAGTTATTTCTTTATTACCACTCTTGTCCACACAAAATGATAAGATTTTCAAGCTATACTTGCCGTTCTCTCTTTCTTTTGCTATCTCCGTGTGCCATGCTCATGCAATAGTTTCATCTTGTTTAAGCCTAATGCATTTTAACACTTAGCAAAGGGAAAATAAATCTTGCCTTGATTTGGAGTTGCAAAAATTTGACATACTGGACAGCCTCTTCAAGCATGGTGCTAATATCAACCTGTCATCAAATATTTTGCTTTTTTAGGTGCCATTCTCTCAGCAGATAACATGGTCACTAATATATGCAGTTTCACCTACATTCACTTACCTTCGTTCCATTAGGGATGAGAGTCTGCAAGGTCCTCAATCTCTCATTAATTCTCTCTCTTCTTTTCTGTAGAAGGAAAAGAAAGAATCCTTTAGACATATATATACTAGCAGATCTGGAGATCAAGCAACGTAACTGACCGTATGCTACTCTGCTAACAATACTCCTTTCATTTTATTTTAAGAGAGTTTGACTGCACACAGAGTCTAAGGAAAAAGAAAGACTTTATAACAAGCCCAAAGTACCCTTAGAAGTAAGAACATATGGGTTTAAACATGTCACACCATTCTTGTGGAGCATGTCATTTAAGCTACTAAAATAAAAAGAAAGTTCAAAAAGTTTCAAATATATAAAGGTGTGCTTTTTAAGAAGTTCAAAATGGAAGGAGTGTCATATAAACTGAACTGAGAAAAGGCAGATAGATACCCTTGCATACAAGCTCTGGGGGTCAGTTGCTGAACCCCTGCTGGCTCTGGTTTTCCGGGTTAACATGTGAGAAACATTAGATTCATCTTCTGAGCAGCAACTGATCGTAGAGTTCTGCCTCTGAAGCACAACCTTATTTTTCCCATCCATCTCACCACTCTTTAGATCCTTCTCCAGCTTTGCGCTTCTCTTGTTCTTCGGGACCTATGTCATAGAATCATGAGACAGGAACTACAAGATGAAGCACCATATCTACCATTCTGAAATAGGTTGACAATTATGTTCTATTAAATCAGATAGAAAGGTTTCAAAGTTCATGAATGATACTTACATGCCCAAGCCCATGCAGCCGTGATCTTTTCTTAGAGCTTTCTGATGGACTATCCATTTTGTCTTCCGAAAATTGTTCATAATCTGTTCTTCCTAGCTGCAAGCCTTTTCCATTGAGAGCCGCTTCAGGCATGTTTTCATCAAACTCCATGCTGTCATTGCTCACATCTTGGTTAAGGAAGTCATCCGCTTCACTTGGATTATTAGTATCCACCAGACCATGTTCCATTGTTATTGAACTATCATTTCTCATCAAGATAGGCCGAGAATGACTTGAATAGTAATTTTCATGACTCGGAGGGGAAAAAAGAAGGCTACTACCATCAGTATACATACTATTGTTAGTGTCATTTGAAGAATACACAGAAACTTCTCTTGCTCCTCCCATGTTCATGTTTGATTCATGACCAGTCCAATATGCGGGGGAGACTCCAAAGTTAGAACTACATGGTAGTTCGTTTGGAAGTGAACAGTTACCAAGTAACTGTGCCATAAAATCAGCCTCGTCAGCTAAACACATTCCGCTGAAGGAGCTCCATTCCCCTGATATTGACGCCACAGGCTCCATACTGTTATTACAACTAGAGCCTGAAGGAAATACTGCTATATGAAGGAGTTGTGCTATTTAACTGCTTTATAATGGGGAAGCTCAATTTCTTGGAAAAAGTAGGAGATAGAGGCGCATATTTATACCAGAACAAATAAAAGGGAATGTCAGGATGGATTGACTTTGGTTGGTATATCAATATATAAATCCTAGGACTCAGCAACCAAGAATATTTAATAAGCAGAATATGCCCCAACCTTTTAAAATAGTACTAGTAATATTTTTTTGTGGAAAATGGGCCAAGTACAACTAAGATAGACTTGGTTAAACTTCAACCAGTTAAGGACAAAATGATGCAACCCTTCAGAGGGTGTATAGAAACACTAGATCTAATTAATTAGGTAAACCCTGGCTCACAATGACTAGAGTTTATATACCAATCATTGGGAAAAGGATTAAGTATTATCAGTACTATCAACTGTCCAAACGTATAATTAGGAAAAGGTGGAAGTGATATGGGAAAGGAGATTGAGCATCTTACCTGGAGAACGTGGGGGTCTTTTTCAATACATTAAAAAGCAATGTAAAATAAAACAAATTAAAAATAGCATATACCTGGGAAATATATCAATCATGGTCGTGAGTTTGACAATCTAAAAAGAAAAAGTGTTCAAATTTACTCTTCACTAATTAACAGTTAGATTTGAAGCAGGGGCAAATCCAGGATTTAAACCCTATGGGTTCAATTTTTAAAAATTTTAGTATTGAACCCATTATATTTTTAAAGTTATGGGTTCATGTCTACTATTTTTGTAATTTTAATAATTTTTTACATATAAATTTTTACTCCGCATCAAAAGTTATGGGTTCAATTGAACCCGCTGAGTATATGCTACATCCGCCCCTGATTAGAAGTTGTCACAAATATTACACTTGCCATTACCCAAAATATCATCCCTAAGCTTGCAAAGGCCATAAGAAGCCAGTTCAGGATCCCTCTACTTAGGCATTAACACAGACAATTCTCAACACCGGCGCACTACCAACCCGATTGGAGAAAAATGGACTTGCCGTTGCCGGAGCTCCATTACATGGACAGATTTTTAAGATAAAATAATGAAATGAATACCAGTGTGTCCAGCGGTCATTGGGTGGCAGAGAGAGCTCAGTCGGAACTGGATCGGGCGATTTTTCTGGCTCCAGTTCGCCAGTCCGGTTGGTATCTTTGAGCATTATGCCGCCGGTGAACAAAGCAAAGCTCAAGACCCTAATTTTCAAAGGTTATTAGAAAGGATGCTACGATAATTTCTCTATATCTTTGAGCATTTCGCCGTCGGTCTGTGTCGTGGCAATTATTCGAAGAAATTGATTAGTTTAATAGCTATGGTAATTTCTGTGTATGCCGTTATCCTTTACTCCAACCTTTACCTTAACCCTAATTTTCAAATGCAAAATTACAACAGGTAAATTGGATGAACATGAGAGGATAAATGGGTAAAATGAGTTTTATAGCATGTTTCATACGTGGAGGCAATTATCAGCTTCAGCGTGAATACAGTAATTAGCAATTTGGAGCCCCATTATTAAAAGGAAAAAGAAATTAGTTGAAGGACAAATTTGAACATTTTCATCTTGCCAAGAGTAATATAATAGTTGATATTCCCACTACACCCAGTTTTAAGCCTTATTTATTTTTTTAAGATTAAGACATGTTGTGAATACACATCTAAATATCAAGATGTATATAAAAAATTAAGATATTTGAATTTGAATACACATTTGAATATTAAGATGTGTCTTAAGATCTACTTGAAGCCTCTAGTTAAGGATGGAGAGATCCTAGCCATCTCACCATAATCTTAGTGGTGAATCATACTCAAATATCTCTCAAAATTATAGTGAAAGTTAACTCTATCATGTTTGTCAACACATTAAAGTTTTTGTACGTTTTAAACCAAAACTTCGTTATCTATGTATAGACCAAAGTATATAAATTCCATTTTAGTCGAGACCTTCATGATCGTGACATTGTGATATTTCCCCTTATACAATTGTTGATATTTTCATGATTGATTCTCACGCTTTGACATATCTCAATTGATTTTGATTCATCATGAGCTTACAAATTCTTCTAATCCTTGGAAGGAAAAAAACCAATTAACTTATAATAATAATAATAGTAACTTCTCAAGCTAAACTTACATGTACATGACATCCACCTACATTTGCCACAACTTTTCAATCCGATCATACATTTGTGATCTAGAGTTCAACAGGAATTTACTCTTTCCAATCAAACGTTGGAAAACTCATCAACACAATCAATTTGAAGAATAAGCAACAGGATATAACTTTGTGTGTGTTATTTGACTTGACAAAGTTTATTCATGTTCCTCCCACGAACAGTCTCTAAGTAGGGGGGCGATCAAGTATATACGCTCGGATATTCCGACATTATTCTTTCTCTAAATAGAAAATGTATATCCTTTCTTAAACAAGGTAATAAAATATTAGAAAAATGAGTGTGTTCGTTGCACAAACAATAATTAAGTCCTTGGATTATAAAATTCAAAGTCTGACATAATTCATTTATATTAAGCTGAAAACCAGAATACCAATACCCCCCCCCCCCCCCCCCCCAAAAAAAAATACTTGAGCTTATAGACCAACTCTAGAAGAAGAAAAAAAAACTAACCAGAAGATGCTAATGTAGTCTAAATCTACGAAACGAAAGTAAATCAACTAAGACTGCTAGGGGAAATTCCATTCTAGATTTGTGACCTCTGCTCTGATAGTTTGAGTTCTGTGTTTGTGCTGACATAGACAAAGCACCCTCCCTTCCACGCGAAAATAAAGTTCTTCAACGAATTATATTCTGAAATAGTAATTAGTGCTATATTTGCAGGATTTAGACATTTCATTATTGTTCGCAAAATGACGCTTTATCCACCCATTAATTTATTTTTTATCTATATTAAATATGGGTCAAATAGTATATTTTATCCATTTTTGTGTTATCCCCGCCAGTTTGCCACCCCTACCCCTAAGTACAACCTTTCTAATTACATGCCCTCACATTATGGCCCCTCATAATCAGGAAAGAATCGAACATAGAATTAAGAATATATATGCCCTTTTTGTTTTAACCTCCATTTTCTGTTTTGATCCCAGAACATTTGCAGCTCAATGTTGAAGTTTTGTAATTGCATATTGTCCGAATGATAACTACGAATTGCATATTTTCTTATTCTTTTTTTGAGAACACAGCTAAATGAGTTTTACAATATTTCCTTATCTTATGGATCCTCTTTGCCAGCATGCAAGTCACGATATATTGATCTACTTTGTGAATGTAGTGTATAAAATTGGTTTGAGATAATCGGAACACTGAACACACTACATAATCGGAACACTGAACACAAGCCATAAACTTTTGAACCAATAACCTTCTGAACCCACAAATTCTATAAACTTCTGAACCGCTAAACTTTCGAACCCGTAAACTCTATAATTTCTAAACTCGCAAACTTACAAACACATAAACCTCCGAACTCATAACTTGAGAACTCGTAAAATTTCGAACCTGTAAAATGAAAAATGAAAAAACTAGAACTGAAAATATAAAAAAAAATTGCCGCGGGAAGGGTTGAGGAAAAACGGAAAAAACAAAAATAAAAATATTTTAAAAAAAATAAAAGTAAAAAAATAATAATTTGTTTTGCGGGGGCACCGGGAGTCTGGGGCGCCGGAAAATGTTTTCCGTCGTACCAAACACACCCTAGAAGTCAAACATTTTAGACCTTGTTGTCTGGTATAATGGTGATTTATTCATCTAATAGCTTATAATGTAGGATCGTAGTGTTGTTGTTGTTATTGATTTTACTCTTGCTTGTGTACATAATAATGAAAAGAATAAGTTTGTGAATCTTCATCTTAGCTTGGACCTCATTGCGTGCAACTTTTTTGCTTTTTGATGAGTATCAGACAGATCACAATAATTTTCACAAATAATATATAGAATCGATCAGCTCATCATTAAAAATAACAAACTATAAATCAATTAATTACAGTGATTTCTTGTAAACTGTCAGAGTTCAGAGTTGTATACAAAATAATCGACATAACGAGAAATTGGTAAAACTCTTCAGCAGGTTGAGTTCCAGAAAGGAACTTATTACATTTGAATAATTGATCAACAGAATGGTTAGTTGTCGTGGATAAGATAATAACCGGTCTAAAAAGCAGTAAGTATTAATTATAGGCACCATTACAAAATTGCAATGTTTCTTCATGCCCTATATGATAACGCTCTCAATCTTCATCATTTTGGAATGCCAATCCTCAGATCGAGCCCAAGGTCCATTCCGTTGTACGCAATGGGAGCATACATCCATAGATCATCAGAGCTCAAAAGCTGCAGATACCCAAACAAAAGGCACGGCATTAAGATCTATCTCTTGATCTCAATGTGAGAAGCACATCGATCTCAATGAAAGAAGCCAGCTATGCCATTATTTAACAGCGAGTTTAACTTCTGTCTATAATAAGTCTAATTTGGTAATCTAAAAAATAAAGTAAATAACATCATATAACCAGTTGCTCAACAGCGTTGGCCCATGGGAGGGCTAACTGAATCCCATAAGTTTTTCATATATATATATATGTGTGTGTGTGCATGTCTTGATTGTTGGAACTTCATTAAAGATGAAAAGCTTCTAGCATCGTGTGAAGGGGGTTCTAAAATGTTTTAGGTCTATTGTTTGACTCTTAACGGTGACTTTTTAGCATTCTTTGAAGCCTCTTATGTGTGTGTATACATATAATTAAGCTAAATAATCAAGTATTCTATACATTGGTTTAATTTATTCCCACCCTCACTAAGTTATTTCTTTAATACCACTCATGTCCACATAAAATGATGAGACTTTCACACTATAGTTGCTTTTCTCTCTTTCTTTGGCTATCTCCGCTCGAACAAGCTAGTGTATGTTCACATTAGATCAGTATTTCATCTTGTTTAATTCCTAATGCATTGTAATAATTAATTTGTGAAGGGAAAATAAATCTTACCTTGATTTGGAGTTGCAAAAATTTGACATAGAGGACAGCCTCTTCAAGCATAGTACTAATGTCAACCTGTCATCAAATATTTTGCTTTTTTAGGTGCCCATTCTCTCAGCAGATAACATGATCACTAATACAGTTTCACTGACATTCACTTACCTTAGTTCCGTTAGGGATGAGACTCTGCAAGGTCTTCAATTTCTCATTAATTCTCTCTCTTCTTTTCTGTAAGAATTAGGGAAAGAAAGATTCTTAGATATGCTAGCAGATCTAGAAATGACGCAACTGACTGCACACCTATCTAATACAAATACTCCCTCCATTTAACTCTAGAGATGGAGTCTGTGAAAAAAGAAAGACTTTATAACTTACCCTCTTAGAACTTGGTCTTAATTATGTCATAACATTCTTATGGATATAATTGCATGTCATTTACGGTAAATTAAAAACTTTAAACTTAAAATATTTCAAAATATATAAATTTATCCTTTTCTAAACGGGGAGTGCCACATAAACTGGAATATCGGAAGTCATAGGCAGTTACATACCCTGGCGTACAAGCTCTGGGGGTCAGTTGCTGAACCCCTGCTGGCTCTGGTTTTTCGGGTCAATTCATGAGAAACATTAACAGAATCATCTTCTGAGCAGCAACTGATCATAGAGTTCTGCCTCTGAAGCACTACCTTGTTTATCCCACCCTTCTCAAGCTTTGCGCTTCTCTTGTTCTTCGGGACCTACAACAGAAAAGTGAGATCATGAGGGAACCACAAAAACGTAGATAGGTCTCAAAGTTCAACGACACTTACATGCCCAGGCCCATGCAACCGGCATCTTTTCTTGGAGCTCTCTGATGAACTATCCATTTTATCTTCAGGAAATTGTTCATAATTATCTCTTCTTCCAAGCTGCAAACCATTTCCAATATCAAGAACAGCTTCAGGCATGTTTTCATTGTACTCCATGCTGTCATTGCTCACATCTCGGTTAAGGAAATCATCCGCTTCAATTGGATTGATTTGACCTTCCACAACACCATATTCCGTTGTTATTGAACTATCATTTCTCATCAAGATAGGCCGAGAATGACTTGAGTAGTAACTTTCATGACTCCGAGGAGGAAAACAAGAACCACTATACACACTATTGTTAGTGTCATTTGAAGAATAAAATGGAACTTCTCCCATGTTCATGGTTGATTCATGACCAGTCCAATAAGTGGAGGAGACTCCAAAGTTAGAACTACATGGTAGTTCATTTGGAAGTGAACAATTACCAAGTAACTGTGCCATAAAATCAGCCTCCTCAATTAAACACATTCCACTGAAGGAGCTCCATTCCCCTGATATTGACGCCACAGGCTCCATACTGTTATTACAACTAGAGCCTGAGGGAAATGGAGGAGTTCTGCTATATGAAGGAGTTGTGCTATTTAACTGCTTTATAATGGAGAAGCTCAATATGTGGGAGATAGAGGCACATATATTTATACCAATACAAATACACGGGAATGATAGGATGGATTGACTTTGGTTGGTATATCAATATAAAATATTCAAGGACTCAGCAACCAAGAATATTTAATAAGCAGAATATGCCCCGTACCTCTTTTTAAATAGTAGTAATTAATATTTTTTGTCCAAAATGGGCCAAGTACAACTAAGACAGACTTTGTTCAACCAGTTATGACCTAAACGATGCAACCCTTCATGGGGTATATAAAAACACAACATCTGATTAGGAAACTCTGAGAATGACTAGAGTATATATATCTATCAATCATTAAGAAAATGATTTAAGTATTACTCAGTTACTATCAATTGTCGAAACTTATCATTAGGAAAAGGTGGAAGTGAAATCGAAGAATCATACCTTGGAGAACGTGGGGGTCTTTTTCAGTACATTAAAGACCAATATAAAATAAAACCAACGAAATATCATACACATCATGGTGGTCTGTTGACATTTACTCTTCAAGTATTAAATAATGCTTAACTTTATCCTCTGTTAAAGTTGTAACAAATGTCGTTACTCAGAGGGTGGCATCTTATAATCTGCTGAAAAGGGACTGGGCATAGAACCAGATCCCTCATAGCTAAACTTTAAATAAAAGATTGGATTTGATAGAGGGACTCCCTCGATTTACAATTAAATATACAATAGTATGCAGTTATCTTTTACTCCAACCCTAACCTTAACCCTAATTTTCAACTGCAAATCAGCATGGAAAAATTAACCCGGGTTTTAAATTGTAAATCAGAATGGATAGAATGGAGGAAGAAGAGGAAAGGAGGAAATGAAGAAGGGGGAAGGAAAGCGTAAATTAGATGCAAAGAAGGTAAATACTTGCTTGTACCCTGTTTACATCAAATCAACAAATTTAATTTTAACAATTAATTTAATCTTATCGATTAAAAATAAATATCAATTAATCATTACAAAATGATATATATATCTATACACGTGCGTTGCACGTAAATAATGACACGTAATGATTTAAATATTTATTTATATGAACAGAAAAATTTAATTAGTAAGAAAAATTTTATGTATAATAATACAACAATCATCTAAATGCCGAAAATTATTATTACATTAGCATAATACATGAATTTAAAATAAAAAGACATCACCAAAACTAACACAAATGATCAATTTTGTCATGTTAGTTAGATAATTATATATTATAGTTAAAAAGTATTTAATGTGGTAATATCTTAACAAACACTTCTTTGTGGACAATATTTTTGTGTGTATGTTTCCTCTTAATGCATTGGTTGCTCTGCCTTAACCAGAACTCTTGTTGTCGATCTTGATATCCCTCTTGAAAGTGCAACATACAGTTGTTCGTGCAAAAAAACATATTGCGGTAAATATAGTCCAATATTTAGGATGTTTGTCCTTGTGCGTTATTTATTATATTTGCAAGACATAAACATACTAAAAATTATTTTCACACAAATTTAAAAGGATATTCCTTAGTTTCGGAAGACGAAAGTTGAATCCAAGGATAATAATATACTTAGAAGCACATTGACCAGTATCATAATTTTGCATATGTGACATTATTGTCAAAACTTCTATATACCATTTGTGTGTTATTACATAAGCTATTCGGTGTGTTTACGTTTTTCAGTTGCATGATGGACATATTTTTCTTCAAAATCAACCTATATACAATGAAAGATCAACTTAGTCTATTATATATACGGTGACATTAACATACAGAAGAAATAATAAACTTGACAACAAACATGTATGGTAGAAGGTCGTTTGGTATTAAATTATTTAAATATTCTTCTTGGTAGTAATTATTGGTATCATTTTCTGCTGAGTCAAAAACATAAAAATATTTTATTTTTACTATAAAATTTTGCAATCAACCTTTTATTTAGTTGATCAACATATTCATTTCTGCTAGCTAATTAAGATGTCTTTTTAATTCTATCATGCGATTTGCACAAATTACGTTTTAATCTAATGATAAAAATATTTCTCTTATTAAATGCACTACTATTACCATTAGGATTTATAACCAAGTGTTCAGGAAGAACCAAATCATCTTTTATTGGATGCTCTTATTCGTTTCCGGCACGAATCAGGAAGACACTGAATACTAGATCTGTTCTTACTTTATATTTCTTGTCAGTTGAATCCTTTTCATTTGAGGCTAGAAGTATAACTTTGGCAGGCTAGCTTTTACAATCTCTGCTTTTGTCGATTTTAGAACTACTGGTTGTACTTGACATAAATTACCTCCCAAACCATTAATATTTCACCAAACGGTTCATTAATATCCAATATTTATCTAGAACTCCGTTTGACACTTAGCCATAAGTGCTTCATCCCATATTATCAATTTTATTTTCCTTATAAATTTAGCATCATTGCTCTGCTTTGATATATTTGTGACGGTTATTTAAGTTATTTGAAGAGGTATATCAAATCTAAAGTGGGTGACCTCACAATAAAATCGTTGTTGGTATACCACTTGCTATTATTACTAACAGTGTCATGCCTCTTAATATGATATTTGCAAGTAATGCATGACATAGAAATATTATTTTGATTCCGCCAGAGGCATCTACAAAGAATAATCCCATTATAGCAGAGTCGACTTTTTATAAAAAAGTCTTGAAAGCTTATTCTTGTTTAGGATTTAGTTTTGACTGTGCTTCCTCAGACACTTATAAAGCATTTTAATTCTTAATAATATATTAACCTTTTTACTTTGTGTTCTAACACTCTTTTTATGGAATATATTTATATACCCTAAGATGTTTTTTTAACTTGAATAAGAATTTTACTCATGTGATGAATTTAAAAAATAATTGAATTGGATTCTCTTGCTAAATAATTAATTAAAAGATTTAATTATTTGATTTAACATAAAAAAAATAATTTATTCTATGTTGATTCAAATCTTAATATTAGTTTATCTCTTGTTTTGAATATTTAATTATAATTATAATTTTATCTACCATAAATTTTATTTTTAAAGAGTAAAAGATTGATATGATATTTCACTTTTAGATCTTTATGTCTGTAGAATCATTAGTGGTATTGACTCTTACCAACCATTTTTTTTCTCTTTCTCACATATTTAGTAGCCGTTTGGACATAAGAATTGTAAAATTTGAAAAATGGTGAAAAACAATTTCAAGTGAAAATGGTATTTAAAATTTAGAGTTGTGTTTGGACATAAATTTCAGTTTGGGCTGTTTCTGAAGTTTTGTGAGTGATTTGAGTGAAAATTTTGAAAAACAGCTTTTTGGAGTTTTTTAAATTTTTGAAAATTTTGAAAATGCATGTTCAAGTGAAAATTAAAAATTTTATGAACAAACGCTGATTTCGAAAAAAAGTGAACTTTTTTTGGAAAAAACTTCCATCAAATTTTATGTCCAAACGGGCTTTTATATTCTTAAATATTTTCTTAATTGTCATTTAATAATTGGGTATTTTTTAATATTACACGAAAAATTAATAAAAAAATATTATTTGAGAAGGAAAATAGTTCAAATATAATATAAAAATATATTATCATGGGGGTATGTTTTTCTCAATGTCAACTCTTTATGCAGTCTATTTAATATTACTTTTATTTTTTTGGTATTGGACATTATGGAATGGTAATGTATTGCCAATACGGAGGATTCTGAAGAAATTGATTTTATTAAACCTTCCTACATATTTTTAATAAGAATTTAATAGATAAATTTTATTAATTTTAAAATCTTAAATATTAAAAATTAGCATAGAAGATATTGTAGTCAAAAAAATATGTTATTGCAGTTATGCCATTTCCCTATGAGTTCTTTCGTTTAATATTTTAGGGCTATTTTGATATATTATCATTGTATTTATGCTTTTATAATAATATAGGCTCTCTTTTTTCTAAATGGATTTGTACAATATAATACATTCTCAAATTAAATTAGTAATAGGACATTATAATACGTTTTTAAATTATATTAGTAATAGAAATTTTTAAGAAGTATATCGTAAAAGTAATAGGATTACATGATTAAAGATATTTACTAGTTTAATTTTATATGAATTAGACAGGNATATATATATATATATATAAGCAAGCTGAAATTTAATAAGTTCTGTTGTACGTTACAAAATTTGTATGAGTTGTTAAGAAGGGAGTCCGAGATAAATTCTTTCTGATATATTAAATGATCGCATAAGAAAGTGACGTGTGGAGTCGAAGGCAGAGGATAGGTGAAACCGAAGGAAATTATTTCGTTTGTTACCGAAAAGAATGATACTCATAAAGATAAAATAAATGTCTGCCACCCGATAGCCCTGCTATTGTGCCCGAAAGCCCTGCTCTTGGAACTATGTTTTTTTTGCTATTTCGTCTCCATTTCAAGGCTAAGTATTGCATATTTATATAATTCGTCTATTATTTCAGGATCAAATTAATTCACTTGTCTAGAAACCACGTATAAATTCAACTGTACCATTTTAGGGGTAAACAGTTTGGCGCCCATCGTGGGGCCTAGACAGTTGTGTAATTAAGTTAGTCCTTGCCTCTTTTACTAACGTGTTTTGATTATTTGTTCTTAGAAAAAAATCACAGAAAATGCCAAATAATTGTGTTAAAGATCAGACTCAAAGAAGTACACTTAATTGTCGTACAAACCGAGCGCGACACCAGAATTGATCCCGAAGCGATTTAAAATACTCGACGTGCCGAAATGTGATGGGACTTCGGACCCTCATGAGCATATTACCACCTATACGACGGCGGGGAAGGGGAACAATTTAGTCCCCCACGAGATCGAATCAGTTTTGCTGAAAAAATTCGGAGAGACTCTCACGAGGATGTTGCCCGAGCATTCCATAGATTCCTTTGAGATGCTCGTCGATTTTTTTGTTAAGGCCCATGCCAGGGCCAGAAAGGTACAGCCTTAGAAGCAGACATATTCTAACTGCACAAGGAGAGTCCGAGTTCCTGCACGAATTCGTAACCCGGTTCCAGAAGGAAAGGATGTTGCTCCGGCTGTTCTGGATGAATGGGCGGCTGAAGCATTCACCAACGGTTTGAATAAGAGAAGTTCTTATGCTTTCCGAAAATTGAAGGAATGCTTTCTCGAGTTCCAAGCGACGACTTGGGCGGATGTTCATAACCGGTACGAGTCAAATATAAGGATTGAGGAGGATCAGCTCGGCTTTTCGGCGTCAGCTAAGGGTTGAGAGAAGAATAAAGAGAAATTAAAAGATGATTTTGACACAAATAGACGGTTTTCGAGGGGCCGGTTGTTTCCTTATGAACGGGCCGAACGACGGGGCAGAGGTTTCCGGTCAGCAGAAAGGTTCATTAGCGATAGAAGAATTGATCGCTACTGAAACAACAGATCATTACAGGACAAGGAAACGTCTGGTTCTCGAGATCTTTCCTACCTAAAACTATCAGAATACAAATTCAACGTCCGTGTAATAGAGTTGGCATCGACTATGAGGAACATCAAATAAGCACGGTTCCCGAAGCCGATAAGATCCAATCCCAGCCAAAGGTACCCTAATTTGTGGTGCGAATACCACGGGACGAACGACTACCGGACTGGGGACTGACTGCCAACATCTGCGTGAAGAGGTGGCGACACTACTAAAAAATGGCCATCTCGGGGAATTGTTAAGTGACCGGGCCAAAAATAATTACGGTCGCAACCGTGATAACACGGAGCCCTCAAAACCAGGAGAAGATCCCCCGCGTCAGACGGTCAACATGAATTTTGGGGGGAACGAGATTAATGGGGTTACCTTCTCGGCAACAAAAAAGACGAAGGTATCAGTAACCCACAGCAAGAGGCTTCGGGAAATCGCTGAAGACGACATCACTTTCACGGAGGAAGATGCAAACGGATTGTTGCTACCGCACAACGACGCATTAATAATTTCTTTAAATGTATTAGATTTTAAAATCAAATATGTTCTGGTGAATCCAGGGAATTTGGCAAATATTATACAATTGAGGGTATTAGAACAAGACAAACTTACCGGAAGCATCATTCTAGCCACAAAACTCCTCACCGCGTTCAACCTTGCAAGCGTGACAACCCGAGGAGAGATCCTGCTACCCACAAATAATGAAGGGGTGATGAAGACGACCCTTTTTAAGGTTGTGGATGGTGATATGGGCTACAACATTATCCTGGGAAGACCGTGGTTGCACGAGATGAAAACTGTACCATCGACATACCATCATTTGCTGAAATTTCCAACTCTTGAGGGGATTAAACAGATTAAAGGCGATCAACCGGACGCAAGGGAGATGAATGAGATTTCGGTCTCCAGTAGCAAAGGGAAGAAACATGCGGAATAGCAATTATAGGAACCGGAGCCTGCTCCCGAATCAAGTGAAGTCAACCAGGGGGAAGATGCGTCGGAATCTTATCACGTGCCAAGATATTTCTAGGTACCAGAAGAGACGGACACAACAAAGTCCACAATGGAAGAGCTTGAGCAAGTCACATTGTTTGAAAAGTTCTTTGAGAGTAAATTCCACTTGGGGACAGGACTGCACCCCGAGCTCAGGTCTGGATTTATTGAATTTCTTAAATTTATTGCCGATTGTTTTGCGTGGTCGCATGCGGATATGATAGGTACCCTGACGGAAGTGGCCATACACAAGCTAAGCTTGGATCCCAACATCCCTTCGGTAAGACAAAAGAAATGTCCTATTGTCGAGGCCAGAAATAAATTGTCAAAGAAGAGGTAACTCGCCTACTTGATATCGGTTCGATCCGAGAGGTAAAGTATTCGTACTGGCTAGCAAACGTAGTAGTATTTTCTAATAAGAACAATAAATTTTGCATGTGCATAGACTATAAAGACTGGAATAAGGCGTGCCCAAAGGACTCGTTCCCATTGCCAAACAATGATCAAATGAATGATGCAACGACCTGGCAACAGTTAATAAGTTTCCTCGATGCTTATTCCGGGTACAACCAAATTAAGATGAACCCGGAGGATCAGGAAAAAACTTCGTTCATAAAGAATTTCGGCACATATTGCTATAATGTGATGCCCTTCGGGCTAAAGAACGCCGGAGCCACTTATGAGCAGCTCGTAAACAAAATGTTTGAAAAATAGATAGGGAAAACCATGGAAGTTTATATAGGCGATGTGCTTGTTAAGTATTTGAATGCAGGTGATCATCTTAAGCACTTGGAAGAAAATTTTGACATCCTAAAGAAGTATAACATGAAGCTTAACCTCGAGAAGTGCGCATTCGGGGTCAGTTCCGGTAAGCTCTTAGGATTTCTGGTGTCACAAAGGGGAATTGAGGTAAACCCCAACAAAATCAAAGCCATTGAAGACATTCCGGACCAGCTATCAAGCGTAAAAGAGGTTCAAAGGCTCACAGGGAGATTGGCCACTTTGAGCAGGTTCATTTCCCGGTCATCAGAGAAATGCCACAGTTTCTTTGCGCTACTCAAAAAGAAGAACAACTTCGAATGGACCCCGAAATGCCAGCAGGCTTTGAGGGATTTGAAAAGGTACTTGTCTAGATCTCCGTTGCTATCAAAGCCGGAGGAAGGTGAAAAATTATTAATCTACCTAGCAGTCTCGGAGGTAGCGGTAAGCGCCATTTTAGTCCGTGAGGATGAAGGTATGCAATCTCCCATTTATTATGTTAGTAGAATTTTAACTGAAGCAGAAACTCGCTACCCGCATTTGGAGAAGCTTGCCTTAGCTCTCGTAGTCGTCGTTGGGAAGCTAAGGCCTTACTTCCAATGTCACCCGATAGTTGTGGTGACCACCTTTCCCCTGCAGAATATCCTTCATAGGCCCGAACTCTCGGGTAGGTTGGCCAAATGGGCCATCAAAATGAGTAAATTTGACATAGAATATAAACCTAGGACTACGATTAAGTCACACATTTTGGCCGATTTTGTGGCTGATTTCAGTCCGAGATTGCTTCCTTTGGCAACCAAAGAAGTAATGATGGTGTCAGAATCGACATCGAGAGATTAGACCCTGTTTACAGATGGAGCGTCCAACGTAAAGGGGTCCGGGCTTGGCATAGTATTAACCACGCCTTCGGGAGAAACCCTAAGGAGGCCATAAGAACGGTCCTTTTGACTAACAATGAATCAGAGTTTGAAGCTTTGATTGAAGGGCCTGAATTGGCCCGGGGACTAGATTCCGAGGTCATAGAAATAAAATGTGACTCCCAGCTGGTGGTAAATCAGGTCTATAGGATCTTCGAAGCCAAAGAGCAGTGCATACAATAATACGTAGTGAATGTTCAGGCTCTGCTTGCTCGATCACGGGAGTGGTCAATTACACACATCTCGAGGGAAGAAAACTCAGAAGCAGACGCATTAGCTAACCTTGGCTCATCAACGGAAATGAAGGGATTAGATTCTGGTATGGTAGTGCAGCTCCTGCACTCGATTCTAGATGTAGATAGCTATTATGAGGTAAACACGACCAATTTGGTCTGGGACTAAAGGAATAAGATCATTGATTATCTCAAGCACAGGAAGTTGCCTGAAGACCCCAAGGCATCCCGGGCGATGCGCGCTAAAGAAACACGATATAGCTTTAGAGGAGGCCAATTGTACAAGAAATCTTCCCAAGGCCCACTGGCTCGATGCTTGGGAGCCTCCGAATCTAATTATATTATGCGAGAAGTCCATGAAAGGATATGTGGAAATCATTTGGGCGCAGACTCCTTAGTACTAAAGTTGGTAAGGGCAGGATACTATTGGCCCTGAATGGAACAAGACTTCAAAGCTTTCGTACAAAAAGGCGATAAGTTTCAACGCTACGCACCACTGGTACATCAACCAGCTGAACCATTACACTCAGTTTTGTCTCCATGGCCATTCATGAAGTGGGGAATGGATATCACCGGACCACTGCCGCCGGCCCCTGGTAAGGTAAGATTTTTTTTGATTTTAACTGACTATTTTTTGAAGTGGGTTAAAGCAGGTCCTTATAAGAAGATTGGCGAACGTGAAGTGGTGGATTTCTTGTGGGAGAATATAATTTTCAAATTTGGAATACCAAATTAGATAGCCTGCGATAACGGGCCACAGTTTATGGACGCAAAGGTCATAAAGTTTCTTGAAGACTTGAAAATCAAAAGTATCACATCTTCGCCCTATCATCCGAGCATAAATGGCATAGCAGAATCAACGAATAAAGTGATTATACAAAACATCAAAAAGAAATTAGAAGCAGCTAAAGGTAAATGGCCCGAGGAACTGCCTGGAGTACTATGGGCATACTGAACAACGGCCAAATCGAGCACAGGAGAGACTCCTTTCTACCTTGTGTACGGAGAAGAAGCCTTCATCCCGATGGAAGTAGGGGAGCCTACCTTGAGATATTTCCAGGCAAATGAAGAGGCAAACAATGAAGCAATGTTAGTCAATTTGGCGCTACTCGATGAGCGCAGGGACTTGGCGCATATAAGGATGGAAGCTCAAAAGCATAGAATTGAAAGATATTATAATCGAAGAGACGACCTCCGTTATTTCAAAGTGGGAGACTTGGTTCTAAGGAAAGTAACTCAAAACACCCAGGAACTCCATGCAACAAAGCTAGGTCCAACATGGGAAGGACTTTACCGGGTTTCAACTATCACTGGGAAAGCTTCATACGAGTTAGAGAATCAAGATGGAAAAGTTTTTCCAAGCAATTGGAACGTGGCACACCTCAAGATATACTATTGCTGATGAACATCACCTGTACTGAATCTATGTACTACACTCTCTTTCCCTTCGTCTAGTTTTTATCCCAATTGGATTTTTCTGGCAAGGTTTTTAATGAGGCAACAACGGAAAGCATACTACGAAGAAGGTTTCCACAGTAGCAATAAGACCTTTTAATAGCAAGGCACACAAGCGAAGAACCACTCCGGAGCGGTTAGATAATCTTTTGCTCGGTAGCAAATTTCCATCGGGAAGTTAAGTTTGCTATCGAGCAAAGGTTACTCGACCGTTCACAAGTGCGAACCACTAGGGGATTGTTAGATAGTCTTTGGCTCGATAGCATAAATTCCTAAGGGGAAATGAAGTTTGTTACCAAACTGAAGATTATCTAGCAATTCATTAGTGGAATCCTCGAAGGTGCAGAACTTATAGTATTCAAATTCGTATTCTTCGCATTCGATGATTGCCACATCGACTGGAATACAAAAATCAGAAACATAGTTATATCATCAGGATCGGGGACTACGCGGCTAGCCCCGTAGAAACAAGTTGTACAAGTAGCCACAAGAAATGGCAATTTCTTTTTAGCATAACGAATGCTTATGTACTTTTTGAAAATGGAAGGAATAAAGTAAAGTCCTTTTATTTCTATCTTATTTCTTGTCTGAACGATGAATTGATTTTTTCATTTGAAAGTTAAACAAGTACTTCAAATGCTAGTGCCGTAATGAATAAGAGACATTCTCTTCAAGAGCACTGTAAACATAAGAGGGCCCTTTCTTATGAAAACCCTCACGATAAAGGGTTGATTTCGGAAGAACTTGTGCCCTAAATCCAAATGCTTTCGGGGGAAAATACACCCAAAGCCTTGAATAATCAGACACAAACAGTAAAACTTGCGCAAAACACTTAAGCAAAAACAAAACGCAAAGATTAAATTTGCATAAATGTTCAAACAAAAGAATGCAGAAAGACTCATGCAATACATGAGAAAAAGGTATTTTTATTTATGGTAAATGTGCCAAAAATAGCACAAGTACAAAAGTTGGGAAAAGAAATGAAAAGCTAAGTTGTTGTATCTCAAGAACCCGGAGCAAGAGAAGCATCCGCGCCCCCAGGGGAAATGGGTAGATCTGTTGCCGGCTCGATTTCTTGGCCCTCATCATTTTGTCCTTCAACATTTTCGCCTTCCGGTTCCTCTTCAGTTTTCGAGGATTAAAAATTGGAACCAAAAGAACCGAAAGCATCAGGCCTGGCCGGACGACCCCTTTTAGCAACTAACTCCAACTTACGTGCTTTATCGATTTCAGCATCAAAGTCGATGACACCCATTTTAGCCTCTTCCAAGGTTTTCCTCCTCATATTGTACATAACATATATTTTTTCAACAATGAGGGAAGCCGCTCAGCGCTTGAATTCTTTTTTAAGTTGGTCAACCTCGGCAGAAAAATTTTCCTGTGCGGATTTAAAGGACCGGAGGCTAACATCGGGATCACGGACAGTAGAGCTGAAAAGTATATTATGCTCAATGGTCCTCTTATACTTCTCCTCCAGTTGGACATGTTTCGCCCCTGCAGCAGCAAGCTCTTCGGTTTTGGAGTTCAAGTCTGCCTCCAAATTAGTTAATCTTTCAGTGAAGGCAGCCTCGCGATTGGAT